CTCATTGGATGCTACATCACCAATTTCCTTCGGCATCCATTCTGTTGTCCGGATCTGCAAATCCAGGCAAACAGTCCTGATTGGTTTGTTTCTCTCTCATGGTTGTTGATCTAATTTCACAGATGCACAACCCTGTTGAATCTCGCAGAGAGCATCATTTAGATCGTATCTCATTTCCCCCCCTTCCCATGGCTTGCATTAAATCTCCTGTACAGAGAAATTTTCCCCTCTGGTCACTTCCTTATCAGAGCCAGCAGCACTGCACCACTCCAGGAGCTCAGCCTTGGACCTCTCTTGGCTTTAATCTGCCTCCTGCCTGAGGACASTTGTCTCTTGTCCCTCTGACTTCTGGCTTCTGCTGAGACTTAGGAAGGGTATGGAATTCTGATGGGAGGTCAAGGCAGCTTGGGCAGTAAGTGAGCTAGAATAAAACCTATCTGGCTTTGGGGAGGGCTGTCAATGAGAAGGTCAGGGTGCAGTGGCAGAACTGGAGGTAGAAACATCATTAGATGCTGCTTTGCACAGTTGGGTTCAGCAGGTGGTAGCAGTCAAGCTCTGAAGCCCGAAACCACCCTTGTTTCTGGCATGGAGTTTGTATTTGTCTCTACTGTGATACAGGAAGTGCTCACACCACTTTACCGGGATGCTTCACAGTGCTCTTGCTTTCTTTTGCTTGGAGCTCTGTTGGATATATGGTTGTTTCTGTGTAATTGCAATTTGATCAAAGTCTGTACTCCTTTGTCCTCTGGCCCTGAGACTTGGCAGTTGGGCCRAGACTCAGGATTGTTGCTACGGGACAGAGAAGGGAGTAGCTCTTTGTGGTACAGCTAATGAATTCTGTGACACCCATTCATACCATTTATACCAACCCATCAACTCCACGCATCACCAAGAAACAAAGATGACATTAACTCCTCTCTCTTTTGATGATACACCTGCATGGAGCTTCACTTTTTACTAAATCCTCTTTACTTCATAATTCCCTGGTTCATGAGAGGTACAGAGCATGTMAATAAATCCTTGTTGACCTTGTCCATGGATCCTGCCAAAAAACTCACCTGTCACTAGCCCTAATATAGTGGTTCATGAAACATGGTCCTGGTACCAAATGGGCATCATCTGCATCCCTTGAGAACTTGTTAGAAATGCTCCAATCTAGTAGACTGGGAATTCTGGGGCTTGAGCAGAGCAATCTAGGTCCCATCCAAGGGGATCTAGTGCATGCTTGAGTTTGAGAGCCACTGCTCGGACAAATTGTCAAGCTGTCACTCTACATTTTCCACTTCAACCTCAAGGGCAGCTTTCTCAAAAAGTGTCCCAAGAGATGCAGTTGGAAAAAAAAAAAGAAGGGCTCCAGAGAGAGTTCCGTGCTCATGGCCTTTGAAAAATTCTTAGACTTGGTTTTCAAGTAGCTCTTCATTTTGTTTAACTCGATATCTTTAAACCGATTTAACCATACATTTCTCTATTCCTGCCCCAGTGTCCTGGGTCCTGCCTCTATACCTCAGTATCTATTTCTCTTTCTTTTCTTCTGTTCCTCCCTCCCTACCTACTTCTTTCCTCCTTCCTTCCTTCCTTCTTTCCTCCTTCCTTCTTCTCTCTCTCTCTCTCTCTCTCTGTCTCTCTCTCCTCAAAACTTCCAGACTCAAAGCTCAAAACTTCTGAGTTTTCACTTCTATGGATTTGGGTGCTACCACATGGAATTCTCCTGAACTCACGTCTCCACTACATGTCCTTACTACAGTCTTAGAGAAGAAACACTGGTCAGGCCATAGGGTTGAGGTTGTAGAAAGACAGTGGACTTGGAAGATAGTTAAGTCTTGGAAGAGATCCAGGATCTACCACTGACTGGCTCCCATTTTTCCCAGGGTTCTGGTGACACATAAACAAAGCTGGGTGTGCACAACAGAATGAGCATGGTATTGGGAGTCAGAGAACCTGGGTATGAGTGCTTGCTCAGTCATCTACCAAGTTCAGCTCTTTGGTCTCAATTTCCCCATCCATTAAATGGGAAATAATAATAAACCACCTACCAGGCGGTATTGATGGAAATGTTCATAGTGTATGGAAAAGATCTTTGTAAACCGCGAAATACTATAAAACATTGGCTACATTATTATATATTTTAGAAGCTGTACTATCAAGAGCTCCATCCCTCTGTCTGGCCAACAAGTAGATGATCCAGAAACTTCAGTTCCTTTKCAAACAAACAGAGCCCCAAAGCATTAGAGCAATGCTTAGTCCTGAGGGACCTTGTTCCCGTTGACAGACAAGAATGATTTGTAAATAGCACAGGCCCTGTTTTATGTTCCATCTTCCTTGGTATTGATTTGTTTATCAAAAATTTTATTTATAAGAAGCACAGAAATAAACCAGCCCCAATTCTGCAGGATGTATCACAGGTTCTGAATTAATGAGGTCTAAATTTATGAGAGTTTTGGGCTGGGGATAGAGCTCCGTGGTAGAGTGCTTGCCCAGCATGTGTRAGGCCCTGGGTTCCATCCACAGCATTGCACAAAACAAAACCCCAAACAAACAAAAACATAATTTATGAAAGTTCAGAGTTGTTCCTTCTGTTTCTTGTTGTTATTGGTGTGGTGGGGAGACAGTGTTCCACAAGCAGGGTCCCTGCACTCCCTGAGGTTGGGAGCACAACTTCCACACCTTGACCTTTAGGGCAGATGCATTTCTCTGGGTACCGGAGGGAGTCATGCCTAGAGCTGTTACATGACATGGTTTGGGGTAGAAGTCTTTATCTCAGTTCTGACAACTCTATGAAACTATATGCTGTGACCACAGAGATTTACAGTAAGAATGTTCTTTGTGAAAAGCTGCGTGTCCTGAGGAATGAGGTAATTTATTTCAAAGTCCAGGGAACCAGTGGTGAATGCTCATGAGACTCATGCTGCAGGACAAGCGTCGTGTGTGATTCCTGGACCAGCAACACTAACGTTAGCAGGGACCTTGATAGACATGAAAACTCTAATCCACATCTTCAGAATCAGGCCCCCACGATCTTTTTAAGCTTTCCTGTTTATTCTGATGTGGGCTTAGGTTTGAGATCTGGAATAAGAAGGAAGGAGTTGGGGCCAGACTCTACCCTCCAGAGGAAGAGCTTCAGAGCTGTGCACATCACTATAGGATGGTGTACCTATAGTGGTCCCAGTTAACCCACCCAAATAAACTCAATTTAGGTTGTTTCTCCACTTATGCTAGGGCAGCGGTTCTCATTGCCTACAGTGAGGAGTTRGAAACCCATGAGTTAAAAATACCCCTGTCTAAGCCTTCACTCCCCACCATTGAATTAGACTCCCTGGGAGTTGGTCTGGGTATCTATATTTTTGAGAGCTTCCAAATAATTCCAATATGCACCCTTGGTTGAGATCTACTGATCTAGAGGGTACCCGGCTAAGAAAAATTGATTTGTTTTGTGTTTGCACTTATCAGGAATKTTTCTGTTGAACATTTACTTTGCCTATTTAGATTATAAAAATTTCATATTCATTCTAGAAAAACTTGGAAAATATAGGCAAGTTGAAAGGAGAAATAAATTAACACTCATGTTCTAACTATCCAAAGGCAGCTGACAATATCTTTGTGAGTTTTCTTTCAATCTTTTCAATTTTTTTTTTTGTGTGTGCGCAACTGGCTTGAATTTTTACAGCACTGTTATCACATTTAAAATCCCGTTTTCTATCCACTTTTTAACTTTATATCTTAAGTGGTTCTGCACATTATTATAATTAGAATTTTTCATACATGCTTTTGGTAATGTGAAAAGAAAAAAGACTTTTTCTCCATTTTTGCATGTACCTACTTCAGGATGGCAGTTAGAAAGTTCTTTCTTTCTTTACATTGCCTGTATTTCAAGAATATTTTAAAACCCTACTTTGAGTGTCCAGAAATAAAATATTAACTTCCTACTCTGAATTTGTTCTCCCACGGTGATTCCCCTGCCCTTGGCCTTTCTCTTACCCYCATCCTATGGGTAGACGTCTGCATCTGGCTGATGGAAGATACAGTCTTATTGCAGAAATTAAAGAAAGGAAAACACATAAATATTTTCCCAGTGTTTTATAACCCCCATTCGACTTGCCAGCTTCAGCGACTGTTAGATTTTTCTTAAGTTACCAGCCTGTAATCCCATAGGTTGTGTATGATTCATAAACATTCACAAACAGAGCGGTCCCCATCAGGCCCACTCCTGCATGCTTTGAAAGAAAGAAAATAAATGTACAAGGCAAGAAAGAGAAAGAAGGAAGGTGGGACAGGAACAGGATGTCCTTGACCTAGGGTAGTCCAGTGGGCACTTTTTTTTTTTTTACTATAATGGTACAAAAGTAACGCACATTCAGTAGAAACCACACTTTGCATTTCGAATTTTGATATATTTTCCTGGGCTAGCAATATGTTGTGATGCTAGGCATCGGGAGTGAGCCACCGCCGCCTGGTCAGCCATGGGATCGATCACAAGGGGAAAGAGYAGATCCTCAATCTGTGGTGTGCGGCTGAGCTACGTTCCGTCGGGTAGACACAGCAAACGAATTTTCATCATGGGACGTTTCAGCTTGCCCTGGGTTTATCAAGAGGCAACCCTATTGTCAGTTGAGGAGCATCTCTAAAGAATGTTCTGGTGTTTTGTACTTGGTTAGAAATGCCAAAATCAATTCATGTGTCTCCTTTTTCCCTTCTCTGCTTTCAACGTGATGTTATTCTTTGTTGAACAGTAACAAATATATACACATAAAGGTATCTATGTGTATATATGTATATGTGTGTATATATATATATATATATATATATATATATATATAGAAATATATTCTCGGTAATATATATTGTATATATATTATATTTTTCCTTGAGTCCTTCTGCCTTCTGACTCAGCTGCTGATTTGAACCTAAGTGCACCATCACTCACTGCTGGTTGATGGAGCTGCCATTGTCTTCTGTTTTGATGTGGTGGATGCGTCAGGTAATTGTGCCCCATCTTCTTGCAGGGCATTATGGGAAGGATGCTTACCGAAGTGGAGGACCCGATCTCCATAACTTCATCTCATCTGGATTTGTCACGTTAGGAAGAGGACACACGAAGGGTACAGTGGAAACCATTTTTTACTAAAAATACAGAGGTTGCCTAGGGAACCCCGGTCTGAAAATTGGAAGATGGTATGGAGGCCAGAGGCTTGGTCCAAGACAGGAAGGAGTAAGTGGGGTGGTTCCATGGCAGCTGGTCCTGGGGACATGTGTGGCTTCCAACAGGAGTAACCAGGAGGTCACAGGGGTGACTTTCGAGGTCAATAGACTTCCGAGAGACATCCATCCTGTTCTGCCCACGGCCRGGGAAACAGGACTGAGATGCTCATGGCTTCCCATGGGAAGGGACCACAAACAGCGTGGTGGAAACACTACCAATGGATGTGGCAGCATTTGCCAAGTGTATGTCTGCCTCTCGGGGCTGTTATTCCCCTTCTACTCGAAAGTCCCATTCTATACCCTGATGTCAATGTCCTGTACTGTGGGTTTGTAAGCCAGCGTGCATGTGGAGAGTTTCAGCATCCTAAGTGTGTTTCTGTAAAACTCTATGATGTGGACCCAAAGCTAGAGGTGGCACAGACCTTCCTGCTGCAAGATGAAAGCTCACCTAGCGTTCTGTGAGCTGCTTTAAGACCTAGCTGACAGCTTGCAGAGCATCTGGGCAGGGGGTCTGGAATCCTCCTCCACTCTCTTTTGTTTAAACAAGCATCCTACTAGTGTTGTGAGAATTCTGTCACCTCAAGAGTAACTGGATCCCTAACTCCTTGATTACCTTCCCAACACCTGTGTGCTGTTATCCACCAAATGTGAATCCTGTTGTCAGGGGGGAGTATATCCCTGTCTTCCTSTGAAATATGTGTCTGTTCCCAGTGTGAGTGAACAAGGAACTTTGCAATATTTTCTTACATTCCATGCATCTACTTTTTAAAGCCTTCTGTGATGTTTGTTCATCCTATAGAGAAAAACAAATCTGTATCTGTGTATGTACTTTCTGTTGTGTCTATTTGTGTCTAAATAAAGTTTATTAAGGATACAGGTGGCATTTCTGGCTACGAAAAGTTGCAGAATTAAATTGGGACCCACCAAGGGAAACGGGCTGCACGGTTAACCACTGGGAAATACAATCTTAGAGACACTCGGATCAACTCGAACCTGGGATTGCAAGCCCCCATGTTACTTGCTTCATAATAATTACCCATCACTGTGAAATAGATCACTCTAAAACTTAGCCTCTTAAAACAATAATAAATATTTATTACCTCCTATAGTTTCTATGGGTTGGAAATGTGGGTGCTTCTGAATTGAGGGGAGTGTCTCTCCTGAATTTGCAATCACAGTGTCACAGCGTCCGGCGGGGTTGCGTCATCTGAAGGCTTGACTAGAGCTAGTGTATGTGATTCCAAGATGGGTCACTCACATGGTGCTGGTCATCGGCAGGGGGCCTCTGCCTCCATCCCTCCCTGTGACATTCATCTCCCTGGGTTACTTGATTTTCTTCCGTGGTATAGTGGCTGGGTGATCAAAGAAAGAGAAAGTCACATGCCACAATATCTTTCATGACCAAGCCATTATTTCACAGTATCTGACAGGTTACACAAGCCAGCTCCCTTCAGGATGGGAGGTAGCTCTACAGGGACAGGGACAAGAACATCAAGAGCTGACAAACACTGGAGCCACTTTGGAGGTGGGCTTTCTCATACCTACAAACCATGGGGTGGAGCTACAAATCTGGATTTTTCAAACAGAACCCAGCAACTCTTACCAAGACCTCTCAACTGTCCGGTTCCCCACCCTTATCCCTACCCCTTATAGGTGGTTCACCCTGAAACATCAAATGCTCCAAGCAATAGAACTCTTTATATTTGATAAATATTTAAGAGGTCTACTGTGTGCTACGGAATAATCAAAAGTAAACAACATAGAATCCATCCTTATGGAGAACTCACATTTCATTGGGACAAAATAAATTCTTGACAGTAAGTGCAAGGAGAAGAACTAAAGCTGGTAAGATTATAGGGAGTGTTGTGGTGGAGAGCTACTCTGGACAGATAAGGGGATCATTGAACGGAGACCTGCAGAGACCSGTCACAGGCAACAGAAAGGCTTGAGGTAGAAACTTTCTTGTTGTGTGAAGAAATACGAAGGGGGTCCACGTGCATGAAGCAGGTGCTGGGGCTGCCCTGAGGTTACCTGGGAGATGGAGACAAGGAGAGAATGTGAGAAGCTGCTGATCTATGAGAACCTTTGCAGATCCCACAGAAGGATCCTGAGCAGATCCCTTTTCCTGTTTAAATGATAATCCATGGAGATGAGGCTGGATATGGCCAGTCCTGCTCCCCAGCCCGATGCTCCATGGGATCTGAGGCAGAAAATAAGGGGGAGGAGTAAATGTTAAGAAAGGGATAAGGACATTGAAGCGGATGRTGAGATCAAAGCTGGCAAAGCGACAATCCCGATGGCAATGTGGGAATCTCACCGAGCACAGGACTTCAGGGTGGCCCTGTGGCAGTCTAAACCCACAGATCTGAGCAGAGGCAGCAGCAGATTTGGGGGAGTCCCAGAGGCTGACCCAGTGGTACCTACTTTATTACTGACTCCCTGAGAAGGGAATGAAGCCAGGAATTGATTTGAACATTTTGGAAAATGTAAAGATAGACAATGATAATTCTGGGTGAAGGTTTCTAGCAGCAGTTAGAGGGCAAGGGCAGGAGGATGCAAGTCTGAAAGGTTTGGGGCCAGATTAGGGGGAATGCTAGAGTGCAGGATTTCTGAGGTGGTGCAGTTTTGAGTAATGAGAAAGGCAGAGGATCACTGTGGTTAAACACAGGGAAAAGTTCACCGAAGCTTAGTTCTGGAACCTCCTTCCGCTTCTTCTGGTTCCACTGCCCTGTGACATTCTACCCAGTACTCTCCTAGAGGTCTGGGCTCACACGTGTCTTCCCACACACCTTCCCCAGCCCATCTGCTGGTCTGATCTACTTGTATCCCTGAAGCCATGTTCCTGAGCTCCCACYAGCCCCGTTGACTGGGTGCTCTTGTGGTCTTATCTCAGACAGGGAAGAAGTCAGGTCTTCTCTTTAGAAAAGAAAGGAGGGATGTGGATGCACAGGCTTCTGTGGAACCACAGGCTGCCACCCCCCATCTCAGGATTTGAGCAAGAACCCTCCGACCATCAGGAGATTGTGGCAAGGAGATCCCTGAGTCATTCCACTAAAGGAATCCAGCTTGGAGATTTTCAGTCCGGGGAGCCAAGAGAGTGAGTGGGTTGGACTCTACTAAGGTATTTGAAGGCTGGACTCCAGAGAAAGCATAGAGCTCAGAAGGCGTCCTATCTCCATGGTAACAGGGAGGCCTGCAGTACAGCTAGAGAGAGAGAGAGGGAGAGGGCTGGACCTGTTTTTTTGCCAGAGAATGGTCTCTGTGAGGCTTCACTTCCTGGGGGCATTCTTTCCTGTCCATAAGGGAGGGGTGGGCGGAAGGAGTGGGAGCCGAGCAGGGAGGAAGCTTTCATTCACAGTTGAGGGCACCGAAGCTCTAAGCCATGGACTGGTGGTTTGGTCTGTGCACGTGGGACAGCTCCCTTGTGTACTCTCGGCTTGTTCACTGCTGATTAATGTCGGAATCCTGAGCACTAGTCATTAACTTGGTGTGCTCAGCTTTTATTCAGTGGTGTTTCACATGATCCCTGGCCAGCACACAGAGCTGTCCCTAAGTATTGCCCTTATGAAAATACGTGGCATCAGTATGGTTTCATGTTTTGTTAAAAACTGAGTCAGCCTTGTATGGGGCCTGATTGCTTTGTTYGCAAGGATGGAGCTGCATGAATGGTGAATTCCACCTACACCCAGTGGATCCATCTCCTGATATAACTTCTATTCAAACAAAATAAAGAGAATTAAGGCAAAACAAAACCCAGTGCAATACCTTTGAGATCTTTCAAAGTTGGATACCTCTGTTTGCAAGCTMAGCCATTTTGCTTAAAGGCCACTATTCCATAAAAGTCCTATTTCCATATGGCTTCGGTTAACAAGAATACGCATGACCCTTCAGAAATCTGAAAGGATGCTCTGACTCTCCTCCATCCTGCTCAGCACTCTGTTCCCTCCAAGGTTACTTTCAGCAACAATTAAACCATAGCGTCCTGGACCCACTTCCCAAACTACTCATGAAATTCACCTCTAATTCAGCACCACTCAGTTTATCTTTAGAGACCCATTTGAGGCAATAAGTCTTCTGCCTCATAAGTCAGTACAAGCTGACCAAAGAAATAAGCATCATTCCTCTTTGGCTTATCTCCTCATTCTAATAGAGTGTTTGGGTTGAATTGACACAGAGACTGTTGTCTTCATGTGGCATCTAAGCTGTTAACCAACTCACACTACTTTAATAAATATGTCAAGAGAAAAATTTTCAAGAGAAAAATTTCCATGCAGCAGGCCCTCTGCTGAGCCCTAGCCCATGCATGTCCCTGTTGAATGCTTCTCTATTGGATCTGCTCCCATTGGACCATGCAGGTGCTGGACCAGTCTACTGGTACAATCTGCTGGGCTGATGTAAGAAGAAAGGTAGYGTAGGACAAAAGATGCGCAAGTCAGGATGCACTGCAAGTCTCCGTGCTTTGGGAAGTTTCAGCTCTTCCTTGTAAAGTGCATGTATATTCAGCTTAGGAGGAGTAACCTGRGTACAGCTAAATTTCCCATGACCCTCAACATTGAGAAAAGAGACAAGACTTTCTGGACCTTGGTATCATCAATGCATCCTTTATAAGCCTCAGTGCCACCAACCTGACTCTCTATCAGGCAAGAGGGGAAAATCATATGAGGCTTTTCACCCTGAGTATTGGTGCTGTCTTTCAAATCTCTTTGGGAGAGGACAGAGGATTAAGTTCTGTTTTCATAGAGGCTGGCTGGCCCAGCCAGAGGTCTAACATTTCTGTGCTCTTGTTCTCCTTTTTTTTYYCCCCCAATCCYTTTTTAGTGCCAGATCTGAGCTCTCTCTTACCATGACCTTTGGCTCAAGTTAGCTGTATTGAGCAAGTTTGTGGCCAGTACAATCTCTC